CTTAAGAAAAGTTCTACCTACCCAAAAATTCTCCAGGCCAGAACCTCTGTTCCTATCTCTTATCCGTTCTATTTCGTTCCGTCGCCATTCAGGCGGGTTAGATGGCCTCCTCTGATGCTCTATAGGTTTTATTTTGCCGCTTGCCGGGGCACGGGCCAGGAATAGAAATGCACGCAGTAAGAAAAGGAGGAATAGGACAAAGAGTGGGTCGGGAACGAAGTAAAACGATTCCCTGCGGGACCGCTTGTTCACTCGGATACACGCTCCACTTTCTATGTTTCACCAACCTGCTAAGCTCGCTCTCCATCTCTCAGCTTGACTCAACATATCGTAGTTTGGCTAACCAAGGACTTTCTTCTTGTCCGATACAGATTAAACGTCAAATGTCTTTTATGTGGCTGCCACTAGAGACGAACTAACGTTTCAAGCCATGATAGCCAACGCCCTCGTTGTCGTCTTGCTGTTTCGAGCGCGCTTGCATCCCCGCCTTCGACAAGCTGAGACCATTTTGAACTTTGTCTACAGGATGGATACACGTTACGAGCCAGCATTTAACGGTGCTGCAAAAGGCTCTCGGCCCTTCCGCAGTCTTTTGAGTCCCAGTGAGCACGCGAGTACCTGAAGGCTAGCTGATGGTTGGTACTTGTTGCAATTAAACATGTAAATGAGAGGAATAATTATTGTCAACTTACGTCAAGCTGCGGAGCATAGAGCTTCCTATGCTTCGGCGACTCAGTTTAATGACGAAGTGGCTGATAAGCACACACCGGCAATGGGCATGCCAAGAAAAGTAATGTCATCTCCAGAAAAACCTATGTCATCTACAGGTCGAGCGAAACTATCCTATTTTTCAATGCATCCATCTTCACCATTCGAAAAATTTTAGGGATCGCTTGAAGCTTCACGGTATGCGGCGCTTGATAGAACGCCCACTAACTGCTCACTTTTTTGCCGTTTCCACAATGCGGTCAGTCAAAAAAAAAAAAAAAACGCAACTATTAACGCAACTATTAAAGATTACCTCTAATAGTATTCAATACACCACGTGTAATTATAGTAAGAATGTACATCGGAACACAAAGGTTAACATAGGGTTTTTAGTTGCATGTGCCTGGCCCACACTATAACTCAGCCAATAAGACGAGAACCAGTATTAGAAGCTCATAGTGGCTCCGCTCCCAGCTCCGTTATGCAAGACGTCTCTCTACTTTCACTCAGATGACAAGAAATTTTCGTCGGGCCAACGGATTTTCATTCAAAAACGCAACCGGCGGCTGTGACCTATTTGCACAGGCCTTGGAGTATGTCATTATACACTGCCACATCGTAAAGATTCTATGGTTCGACTTCAGCTGGAGAATTAGTACTGTTGTAATGTTTGGATCTCTTCTGTTGCGTTAAGCTGATTAGTTAGCAAATGGACTTTTTCCACATCGATAATTTACTGCAGTAGGACGGTCGTGGTATACTCCTATTAGTCGACGTAAAAAGCGACCGAAGCTACAACAATGCGATTGTTCCTCTTTATATAAGTGCCATATACACGCGCCGTAATACGAAACAAATGACAGATACATTTATGGATAAAAACATTAATAACTAGTCGTACTGAGACAGGTCACACTGTGGTAAAGTTCTTTGTGGAACTTCGAATGGAAAACCCTATACTCCGTAGTCGTACGGTACGTAACATTTACAAGTTAATAATGAGTCTTTGAGCGAGGAAATTATAAAATGCTTACGATCGTGCAGAATAGTAATTGATTTGATTACTCAATAGGCTGATATCACCTCCAACAGTTTATATACACATATATTTTGTGAAGTAGCAAATGATTACCGACTCATCTGTATACTCTGTCCGGAATAATTTAGGAATAATATTAAGCCTGTCCAAGTGGTCCTGATAAAACCTTTAATGATAATATCGAACCCAAAAGTCTCATCGATTGGATCGTTTAAAATTCGGTGGATAACAACGGTATGACGTCGTCCTTGAACTTTACGTCATGGGAAATCTATTATATATGAACAATAACTTCGTCACCCGGATGATAAATGTTAGAAGGTTTATTGCCATTATCTAAATATTCGTATTTTTGTATTATTATCTTAATGTTCGCATTTGGTGGTATTGGGTATATTTCGAAATTTGCTACAAACGAAACTTCCACCGACGCAATCATTTGCTGGCGGGGGCCCCAATAAGCGAAAATAGCTGCTTTAATGCGGTTTTTACCAAACAATACCGACCAGCCCTCTAAACAATCCTAAAGTGCGTCTACAAAGCGGCTACTTGGAAAGGCTTGTTAAATTTGTAGTCATTTGCAGAACAGTTATGGGAAACGAAGGCTGAAAAGGCGTTTTTTGGTTAGTTTTTCGCGCCTCAGCTCTTGGGGGTGTCATTGCTAGGTGTTTTGGTTTGCCCGTGACGCTGTTCGCGTCATACAATTAAACTTCCCCCCACAATCAATCTGTGAAGGAAAAAGTGGCGCTACGGAGCGCTAGCCGATGTTAGTCGCATCACATACAAACCTGGTGCGGGAAGTCGACCCACCGCAAGTCGGCAGCGAAATTGCGGTTCAGTGGCCGCGCCCCCTCCCAAGAGAAGGCTAAATCTTGTTGACTTAGCCAACCACAGTCGCTCCATGGTTGCTAGACTGGGATGAAAGCTAAGATGTGTACGATAGAACCCGCCGTGGTAGAAAAGGAAGGCCACCTAGTAGTCGATTGGTCGTTCGCTGAACGCCAAACGTCGCCCGGCGTTGAACGGAAAATAGCCCTTTTTATGAATACCATACAGCATACATAAAGACGGAGACGACTAAGATAAGGGAATATTCGCCCTAATAACAGCGTTTAACGGGAAAAACAAGGTGACTATAGGGCGAGAATTGTAGAATATAAAGAGGCGCATGTAAATTATGAAGAAACAATAGAGATGGTATAGCTACGGTGCAGAGCGTATAATCAGAAACAGATTGATTAGGTTTTAGTTAAACAGATTTGCTGATTTATGAAAATATAAGATGAAATCCCGAACTGTTTCAATGCACTAAAAATTGCCTGCTCAATATTCGATGTATGTAGATGTGTGACACATTTGACCTAGTTTTAAAAGCCTTCATCCTAACCTGCTTTATACATATATGTGTATCCATATATGTGCTAAATATTTCCTCACCGCCACAAGACTCTTAGTATGTTTCTCTAGGATGTTCCTCTTACCTAGGCTAATTAGCCAACGATGCCCACTTCAAGACTCATGGCGTTGTTGTGTAAATAAGACACGAGACTCAGAGGTCTTTGACCTCATGGAGAAGATTTGGAATACCTAATTTCTGGTTCCTTCTTCGATGCAGATCAACGGGGGAAATCTTGATTTCCATTTTGCTCAATTACCACCATATTGGTGTTAAAGAATTCTGTCTGTCGCAAACTCTTTCCACCATCAACCATAGCCGACGTGGCAAGCAAAGATTGGCAAGGGAAGAATACCGCTCTAAGCAACAGCAGAAAGGGGTAGAGATATGCGGCGTATTTGGTTTTATCCATATTGACGCGATGAGCAGCCAGTAACCGCGCGATGGACGGTGTCTTCTTGCAGCATTGGCCGCTGGGCACAGTATAAGCGCATCGGAACCAAAGAGGCCTCATTCTACTTTTTCAGAAGAATCGCCCTATTCTGCATGCTCGAAGAGACTATGCAATGAACGAGACTCTTCAAAAAGATACAAAACACTTCCGATGTCTCATCACTAGCTAAACTTCGGCACCATACCAATCAACTTGAATTCGTCGTACACTCGAGCTTGTCGGTTCGGTACTTTAGGAAAGACTCGTAAGGCGCCGAGGCATAAGCAGCGCTGCGTTCGGCAAGATAATATGGATATTATAATTCATACGAATATTTATTATAATAATAGTGAATATTATAATGCTAATTATTATTTTTATTAGAATTGTTATAGGTGAATGAAGGGCAGATAATAAAGCTATTTTGTTAGCTGCCACCAACAAAAGGGGTTCTAAGGAAAGGCGACGTAGGAAAGTGGCGGTCTTGTAACACCATAATAAAATACATTGAATAGAGTTAGCTCGTTCACATTGAGACGCTCAATATCTACCACAGAGCAAACATACTAATGCGCAAAGGGGGAATAAACATTTCCGGCCTCCTGTTCCCCTACTCCTTTTGCATGTTCCTTCGTTATCCTTCTCCCCGACGTTTGCTATGGTTTTAATAATAACGAGACTTTTTGTAGGTACATCATTATCCCGAGTGTCAAAGCCGCCTAGATAGAACTTCACGCTGTCATGGGAGGCTCTTGCTCTCTTTAATACACATAATAAGCTTGCCTAAGCAAATTTATTCCAGAAGCACTTTTAGAACCGTTCAGGTAACGAGTTGATTGTATTATAAGTTCACGCAAAATCGCACACATTTTCCGTTACTCCATAAACTGCTCTAAAGAGAACGAAGCAGCACGTCCGAACGAATCAAAGGTTTACTGAAAATGTGCGATACTTATGGGCTCACGAGTGCAAATTTAACTTCCTTAATTAATCAATTTCAGTGACAGTTTATCGTTGCTGGAACTCAGTGTCAACTCATTAAACATCCAATGTCTCCCTGTACGCCCGTATACTTCGTTTCGAGAACTCGAGTTATGATTTGGAAGTTGTAGACTAAGCGCTCAGATTTTTTTAAGCGAACAGAGAAATGGAACAGTATAGGGTTTCGTAACAACTAATGCACACTTACCTGGACAATGCGGACGTGAGCAGTGTCGGCTAGATTGAAGTGGATACAAGCGTCACACAATAGTAATGAATAATAAATAAAACCCGATGTGCGTTAGAAATTTTGTCACTTACCTTCGATAGAGAAAAAGTAGCACCTACTTATACACCCAAGTTTATCTGCTTAATATAAATGTGTACACTATCTAAAAAAAAAAAAACATTTTGAACTATTATCATTTTTTTTTTTGTTTCGCTCAAAATGATTACCTTTATTCATTCAGACAAAATCACAAAATCGTTTCATCTGTTTTGAAGGATTTTTAATGGGCAGTTATTGTCGACATGTTATCGGGTTACACTACACAATGTTTAATAATGATCTACTGCTGAAACAGGCCCCTGGTCAGTTTGTGTTAAAATCTACTATAATTTTCCCGATATTCGTTCCCTGACTCTGCTTGTTGCGCTGTATTTGTTGTTACCATATATTTGACTGCATGACAATGTAAATACAAAAGTAGCGTTATCGTACCACATGCATTGTATTACTTCACGTCATTTTTTAACGGGCAGGTTCGTGCATTGGAAGGTCCTGTAGAAGTTTTTCACAGAGGCAAGACATACCAGGGTGCAGTGGGCGCTAGGTGAGGGCGATGGGATCCTGGCTGCATTGGAGCATCTCGGAGGAAAGCTACTGAATCTGGTTTAACCTTCCACCGGTCCGAAAACTGAGCTGGCACTCGGTTTCTGGGGTTTCTACGTACGGTTTGTGTATCCCCGAACGGCTCAGTTTGTAAACAAATGCGTACTGAATCCCTGAAAAGTCCCCATCGTTGACGTCCCTCGGCTGCGACAGACAACCCCCCTTCGAAGGCTCTAGGCCTGCCTCATCAGTGGCGACCCATAGTCAGAGATTCATCTAGCTGCTAGCTTTGTTGAGGCCCTTTTGGTGATTTTGGGATCCATCAAGAGCTTACCAAAGCTCGCTAAGAGGCTTACTTTAGGTAGTGTCATTCCGACGGCTTGCTGGCCTGATGCCGCACGGCCTGTCGTCCACCAGCAACTACCTGTCCGCTCTGCCTTTCTATACCTGTCCTGGGAATGTTCAGGAAGAACGATGACGACGAAGAGAGCCTCAGCTCGTCGAATATTTACAAAAATCCGATCTCCCCCACCCACCCTTAACCATTCTCCCGCCATCTATCCGTCCCACAACTGATGTGTCCACTCCCGTCCATGTACATGCGTTGCACAATGTTAATGTCTTACAACGGCAAATGTTACCTCGAGCCTATTGCACACAGAAACTCGCCTGGCTTTCCTCTCCTAACTTCTTGCACCCCCCCCCCCCCCTCACCGAGCATGGAAAAGCCTCTTGCTCCAATGGTGGCACACGGTCACGTCGCGGCATTGTTATATAACACACTCGATGCAGGTCGACAGGCACGCACGCACATTTCGTTCTCGCATACCACCGTGTTCACGCTCTTCAGTGGCATTTGGCGTAGTTCTTCATTCATTGCCAATTCTCTACGTTCCCAGTCTTGGTTTTCATTTCTTAAGTACCCACTTCATAGTAGAATAACCCTACTTCCCCTATATACTCGTTTAGAGATACATATGTGTATCATCAAGCAATTCACGCGACCGCAATGGCACCGCACCTAACAAAACGAAGCTCTTATTTCAGTGCTGCGTGAGCCATTACGACTAAGTAAACGATCTCCACAATTGCCACAGACCAGATTGCATCGAGCAACCAAAGGACCCAAATATACACGTATATAGCACACAGCTTGCAGGCATGCAAGCATTGTATGTTTTCGTGTGATGCGACGGAAGGGACACCATGCGTCCTGTTATGCCCGCAGTACGTCGTACCGCTACCGCAATCCATCTATATGTTGTTGCGGGGCTTGCCCGGCCTTCTCAACTTTGTTTCTCTCTGCAGGGCTGTCATCAATACATCCAAGCGTTGGAAGAAGCAGCCCAGAGACTCACAATAATGATAGAAACATGCTACTACTGCGGGAAGATGCCATGGCGGGAATGCCGCCTCTTGTCACATCGCTACTTCAATCTTGCAAGAAAATGATGACACGACGCCCGGAACAAAAAGAAGCGCTTTACTCCAACCCAGAAAGAATTGCACCCATCAGAGGTTTGAACTCCAGATATGATATCCGTTGTTTTTCTCTTTTCGTTCTGTTTCTTTTCCCTAGTCTTCTTTCAGCTTACTCTCGTTTCGTTTATATTGTATAGCCGAAGTATTGTCCTAGCGATGGATGAGGACTCATTCTTTATATCAGTTTGCTGTGTGAAACACGACCACAATATGGGATCGTCTTCGAAATCTTTAAAGCGCAACCTGCGTTCTATGTCCTCACAGTGTAAACTGAATAGCAGCATTCTCACGCCGGATCTTGTTGTCGCTATACAAAGAGGTGTGACTTAGGAATTTTTTTCTGTGTATATTGGGGGACGACACGAATTGAGGGTTAATGAGGCGAGAAATGGCTTTGTTGAGTGAAATACGTTGAGTAGTCCTCAAACTCTCGTCGGAACAATCAGCCTTTCACGACATCATCGGATAGTTGCGGCGTCCCATGTTGCACCAAGTTTCAAAGGAAATGAAAGCTAACGCGCGCGTATGTACCACATATTAGCGATGCCTGCAAATTGTCTTCACCTTAGGTCTGTCTATTTGCACCATCTTCCATCATTCCCAAGTAAATGGGTAGCAGAGGTAATGTGTCTGTATCCGTTCTCTTGTCTCCTAGCATAAGTAGCACAGCTTCTAATATTTACACTTGTTCTATGTCCGCTGATCTAATAACTCTACAATTCATGTTCATCTTTCCTGCAGCTCATCTTTATTCCTTCCTCGTTTTACTCTAAGTTATATACAGTAGCCAAAACAGTATATACATGAAATGCGCAATTATTACATAATCTACCGAATAATAATAATAATCATTGTTATAATCCTCGCTGTTGCGACCTCGCGCCCGAGGTAACGTTCTTCAGTGATTGTTTTCTGGTTTCAGACATCCGTACAACAAACGTATGGAGCGGCTTCTTCTCTAGTACTACATATTTGTAGTTGATGTTGTCTCGTTTATATGCGTGGTTTAAAGAAGCCGATCCAAACTTACTCACTCATTAAATAAATTGCCACGCAAGTCTTGATAGTATCATTATCATCGTGTCCATACATCGCATAATAATTATTACTGTCATCATTATCTTTATATATTGATAAATTGTAATCATCACTTTGTGGGATAGGCGGGTGAACGTTTGGATAGGTTATCTGGAGGTGGCGTGGTCTAGGATTGAACCCGGGCATAGGCTTCGTTTCGTGCTAGGAGCTAGTCGTCTGATGGAGTGCCTGACGGTGGTACCTGACGTAAACTTCGAAACATTAAGGTTTTAGGAAGGCAGTGGATTATGGTAAATGCATGGCAATTTTGTGTTAGTTCACTGCTCACAGCATGTGCTGCTGCTGCTGCTTAACAAATGCCGGTTGTGGTTTAGCGGCCGACTTTCTTTGCTTTTCTTTTTTCTATTGTTGTTATTACCATACATCAGTATTAGAACGCGTCGACTTCTGACAGCACTCCCAGTCATGTATCACTAGCAGACGACACTTCCACATACTATTAGCGTTGATGATGACTGGTGACTGCGAATAATGGCGGCCTGCGCCTCCTCGGAAGGTGTTTTGTTTAGTAAACCGGCTTTTTGTCATCATTCACATTTGCTAGCCATTTGTTCAATCATTCGGATAGCTAAATAGATCAATAACCTCTTTTATATATTTGTATATATGCATGTATAGCTTTTTGTTTTCTACGAGTTCTCCCGCATACTCTCTGTCGCTCTATTCGCTAACTATTCACTATTTTTTAGTTACACCCACGAACCAAAGAGCAACTCGCAGGCCTGGGCGACATCTTGTCGCCCTAAAGTCCTGAGAACGTTAATGAGGTTCGCTTGCGCTGTAGGCTCCCGGTGCCGTGCCTCCCACAAATCTAGCAGGAACGTCGTAGGACTTGGCTTTGTCGCGAAGTAGTTTGTGTACCTAATAAATAATGTAAATAGATATGAAAACGAAATAAATTAGCATCTCTTGTGTATATGAAAAGTTAATTGCGACAGCAATATGAGAGTTTGTGAAATTCGACGTTAATGGCAGCTTCTAAGGACAACGAAAGCATAAAACTAATTCATTGTCTTCGTGTGCTAAGTCAAATACAAAGTTCGTTACACAATTGGCCAGAATATAGCCAGTTCATATCTGAATGATGATACTTCCTTTAACGTTTGTTTACGTAGCATTAAAGGACTAGTCCGAAAATTACACGCCGTCCCAACATAGGTACATACCTGTCCATGCCAAGTTCCGTAGCAAGCATACGCCAGTCGGCTCCTGAGTGGTGGGGAGGATCAAGTAGTGTACTCAACTTGGAGCGCGCCTCAGCAGATACACGGAATCCTTCGACGGGCACCACTGAAACGCTCACAGTTCCACCTCCACGTAAATCAAGACTTTTAGTCATCATTACGTTACTGCCAATACCTGCAATACCAGTGCTCATCTCGCTGAGATTGCGGTAGATAGGCGAGACTGGCGTTGAGTTGCACTCCTGATTAAAGTGATGTTCTAATTGTAGTACCTGCCGATGCGATTGATTGCCCCGTTGATATATGGTCACTTTACACTCAAGTGGATGTTTTGGATCCCGGCAATTGGCTGATGTCACCGTGAATGAACAATGTAAAAGCGATTGCCGCGAGGACCACAAGTGGCTAAACGGTATCTCCTGATAGTTAGCTCCAGACTTATAGGCCCAGCCTTTTGCCAGATCCTCTAAAGTAAGACACAGATTGGCTCCTCCATCGTGTAGATAGATGCTTTTAGGCGATTCGAGTATGGTCCCGTCATCTGCAGCCATGACTGCCTGCAACGCTGCCTTGGTCTCGTCGACGCAATAGATACGGATTGAGAACTCGCTCTGCGAAAGGCTCAACGAATGTCGCGAAAGGAAAGCGAGCAGTACGAGGGACTTTGTTGCAAAACAGTTAACCTGCGATTCACCGCACAGAACGTAACGGGTGAGCCTATCAGTCTGCAGATGGCACAACCTACTGTCCATCTGGCAATAGAGCGGTGTATTCAGATTCTCTTGACCTAGTGAAACTACTCGTTTCCAACAAAGATACTCCTCCTCGGTACTGCCTGTCTGGCCAGCTCCCCCTGCATTTGTTGGCTCGGCAGACAGAACTGATATTGACCATTTTTCGGCTGGAGTCTGAGCGCAATGCTCGAAGGTTAGAATAACGGGCCTGGCCAGTGGCACCTCGCTGGGACCGCATTGTACGATAGGACTAAGAATGGTCTGCTCCTCCGAAAATCCCGGTCGATCGCGGTCTTCCTTAAGTACCGCGACGAACATGTCGTACTTTCCTTTTTTGATAGCGCCCGGGGGAACCGTCATCGAGACGCCCAGGTGCGGCAGGTTTATACGCCCACCGGCTGGTCCTATCGCAGCCCACGAAATGAAGTCACTGTCGACGCCCAGCGGTGGCATCAGCGTACCCGAGGCCACGGACGCTCTGGCCGTCACGGAGATAGTGTCATAGATGTCATACTCAGAGGCGCCATTCTCTGAATGTCGTCCGCTCGCTGGTGAATCGCTTCTTGGTTTGCTTGTAGAACTCGGCGTGCGGGACCTCTGCTGCTGCTGTTGCTGTTGCTGATGCTGTTGTTGTTGAATAGTGTTATTGCGATACTGTAAAGGACTACCCGGAGCAATTGCGAGGTTAGGCGCGTAGAGCTGCTGTAGGAGGGGCATGCTAATGCCGGGCTCAAGTTTTTGATCACTCAGGAATTCCTGAAGGCCTGGTGCCCGATTTAAACTCTGCGTCAGGTCTGGTGGTATCGGAATTACGCCTGAAAGAAAATAAGTGCTTTTCTTTGTCTAAAACTCACCTAATTTGCAACAGTAATTACTTTTGCATGCAGTGAAACCTGCCCGTTTACACAGCCTGCCGCAGGTGCATGCAGACACTTACGTTACTCGAGTTCTAGCCTTCCGATCATACATCAGACATATATATCATAATTAAGCGTTACGTACGACGTCGGATTATCCTACTATACTATAAAGACATTGGTATCATTTGCTAGGATCTCTAGCGGGCCAAAGCCGTTCTGTAATTTTTATTAGTCGGTATCCTTTTTAGTGGGAAGTATTTTTGTACAGGCTTTCGCATTGTTAGATTCTGGAGAGCAATAGTTGTATTTTACGCTACTCCATATGTTAAAAGCACCAAGCAACTTGTAAAGCCCAAGATATACAATAAGTAGCTATGTAAGGAGCGATTACGTGTCTTCTATAAAACCCTTGATTTTAAAATTTGCCTGTGATGTATCATCCATTCTACCCCAACGTGATGTTTTTCTGAGGAGAGTGTTTTTGTTTATTTAACGCTTAGCTAACCTGTGACTGGGACAGTACTGTAGAGAGGTTGATGCCGTTTGCTGGGATCTCTAGCAGGCCAAAACCGGAGGGCAATCAAGAAGGTAAAGCCGAGAATAATTGCTGCGAGCGCCATGCCTATGACAAGTGCAACTGCCTGGATACCGCCAAGATTTGCCGCAATGAATCCTAAAAGGTAACGGGATTTATTAATGATAGTATTATAAACTACTCAATCTCTGTTATTTATATAGCAAATATTCGTTAACGTTTTCATTTGACGATTCTACTGCTTTCGAATGAAAACTCTGCATTGTATTGTACCATTGTTCCGTAGATATATTGTTTGGTGCTTCAAAATTTTGATGAAGTCTAGGGTACTCTTCTCTGATCTTTGAAAGCTTTAAAAGCAACTGAAAGCCTGCGCATTTTTAGTGGTAGGTTATAGACACTCGATGATAGAGTATAGGCCTGCTTATACTCTGCAGTTTGTACGGAAATATTGAAATTTTAAAGTGTTCTCAAGCAAATAACAACGACATATAAATCCAGTAATGAATCAGTGAGTTAATGATTGTGGCCCTTGTACCTTGGTCGTGTGCGGGCATCGGATGTTGATCAGCGTAGTAGTGATTGTTATTATGGTTGCCGTTGCTTGGGCTGTTTCCTATAGTATTATCAAGTTGGCCACCTCCGCTGACGTGATTATTAACGTTGTGGCCGTGTGGATGCAGGGGTAGCGTCGGAGAATGGGCCACAAGGGGGCAAAGGCCTCCTGTACAATTGGCTGCCATCTGCTCTTTGCCGGAACAAGGTCGACTGCCCCGAGAAGATATAGGATTTATGCACCGGCGTTGCCTATAATAATAAACATCCAATTTCGCTTAATTTGAGATACGAAACCGTTTCACGAACATGCTTAATGAATGTAAATAGCAGCTTGCATAGACATTATACAAGTGAATTTGATTAAATAGATGGTATATTAATCTACTTTGATAAATTTTACTTATTTGTCTCAGAAGTTGTTTTGATATTTTAGTGCCTGTCTAGCTCGAAGACTTGCCAAGACCCGAAAACAACGCTCAATAAAGTTGCCAAATTGATGCACGTAAAACGTCTAGGGATTATTCACTTTAAAGTGACTTATATATTAGCATTAGTCACGTTGGGATTATTGATTTACACGTCTAATTAATGAAACTATTAGAGGTGTCTTGTATTTCTTCACACCTTGGATTTAGCTCCAAAAGCAATGGGATCGGAGTGCTTCTTTGTAACTTGGCTATTATTTACCTGTGTTGTCTGCAATCGGTTCCACAGCTACTCCAGGCCGACCAAGGACCCCACCGTCCATCAACAGGCCCTCCTCCTTGTCCTGATCCTCCACTGCTGCCGCCGCCGCCGCCGACGACACTACCTCCCGATCCCAAGGCATGGCTAGATGATGGATGTGGTCCTCCGCCACAATGGGGCCCACCAGCGTGACAGTCATTCTTCTCGGAATAGTCCCCAAGACAATCGTGGCCACCGTTGCGCGGTGGCGGGTTCGTACAGGATCGCGTGCGTGTCCGCAGACCCCGGCCGCAACGCGATGAACACTCACTCCATTGGCCCCACGGGCTCCATCCGCCATTTGCTAAAGAGTTAGCAGCATGACGGGGGAAGATAAAGTACGGAAGCGCAGCATACCATAGAAAGGTGGTCACGAATGTAACGAACCAGAACACAATATCGACAGACGGAGAATACGTTCAGATTGCGATCATAACAGGTCAAAAACGGTGGTCACGAAAAACTTATTCAAGTACTAAAGGGATACTTCAAAAACAACTAGCAAGTGCTTTGGATCAGATGAGACTAACAGCTGTGACCACAATATAACACGCAAAAAATCGTTAAAATACCTGTTTTTCTTAGATAGTCTTCGAAATAATTCATAATAAAAAAGTCCAGATTTACATGTTCCATCTTGTAATTCTTCTATTACGGCGTTTAAATCAAACGTGTACATTTTTAGTATAGTCTATAGTTTTGTCCATTTGTTATGATTAAAAGTCAGATACTTGACTTGGAATAATATATTTTAATCAAATAGCTGGACAACATACATTCAAAAGGATAGAAGAAATAGACACAAACCTAAAACGGAAATGGAGGCGGTTTCGCCAAGTCGACTTTCGCCTTTCGGCGTCTTTACTCCACAGGTGTAGTTGCCTTCATTCGCTAGGGTAGCGCGAAGTATTACAAGACTGCCTGAGTCTTGATCAAGATCGACGTTGTCATCGAGCATAATCTCTTTGCCATTGTGAAGCCAGAAAAGGCCCCGGCCTTCCGGAGCTTCAGCAGATGAAGACAAGCACTCGAGAACAACTTTGTCACCTAACGGTACCAAACGCCTGTGCGGCTGAGATGAACCAGAAGAGTGGCTAGACGCTGAAAATAATTAGTCATAATGAAATTAAAGTACAGTAAATTATAGCATTGTAAGCAATGATTCGCATTTGCTAAGAGACTATAATAGACGATGTTCGCTTATTTGCACAATTAACAACTTGTGTAAATTAAACCTCTCTCTCTCTCTTTTATAAATATCTTGCTTAATTTAAAAATAACCGGGTGGATTGGAAAGCTGTCGTCGGATAAACGGAAGCCTTGTAAGCTCCGATTGCACTACGTAAACAAATGTTTAAATGCTTTGATTAATATCATGCCATTTGTCATGTATGATTCGGATTGTTTCCTCTTATTTCAATTTATTTAATCACAAATCCCACCCACGAAGTACGACCCTATCTGTTGTTTTTTTTTTTTCTTTGTTTGAAAATAGGGAGCCCTCCTGTTATCAGGATACTCACTTCTGATAAACAGCTATATATGTGCCCATTGCTGTGATACACCATACCAAGCCGTCTACCCAAGTGTAGGTTCGTTGTTGTTACAAGCAATGTCACTCTTTTATTTATATCACGAACCTTTTGTAAAATTGGAAAATGTACGCGTTCGTCGATATTTCCTGACTGCCGTATTTATTCATCACTTCTCGTAAATATCTATCGTTTCGTATGAACGGCCTCCTTTCCCTTTGTATAGTGCACAGAGTGAATCAGATTGGCCAATGGTAGCCATCGATCTTTTCGCCTCGACCTTTTGTTCAACTGTAAAGGAGAGCGCCGGAACCGCTTTGACGAACGAAATCGAAATTCACCAGAATCGGTTTTCTTGCTCCAAATTCGGATGAGGTTTCGTCCGTTGCTTTTCTTCTGGACTCCTTGCTTCGTCTCTCTGACTTTTTTTTTCAAGCCGAAGTGTCCTCTGTCCGTTCCCTTTGCTCCGTCTTCACTGAGTGCTGCACCCCTTCGGATTCTACCCAAACGAACCCCGCCAGCTAACAGCGACGACCCGACCCGCAGCTCGATGACCACACTAAAAAGGCCGCTTGAGCTATACTCAACTAAATCCTATTACGGTCGTAAAGTAGAGATCCGCTGGATCTGCTTCGCTAAGGAACACCATACACAGGACCCACAAAGTCACAGTCGAACACATCAACACACACATACATACGCACGAACCCACAGAAAGGCGCAGACCTTTTCTGTAGCCGCCACGATGAGGTTTTATGGTTCTCCCTTTCCCTGTCCTTCAGTAGCCTCCCTGCCAGCAGCGGATGCACGTTTAAGAAATCCGTTCTTTGTGCACGGCAAAACGGCCTAGCTTGGACATGACTTCGCAGTGGGGCACTGACACCAGCTACTGCCACAACTCTTCGGGACTGCTAACGCCCTTTAAACAGCGCCCGTTTTTTACCTGCAGGACTCTGTCCAAACGGGTGCCTGTTCCTTTTTGTTCGACGGACACGGCACGCAGCGTAGAGGAGAAAAGGCAAATCAAAGCGGTAGAGAAACGCAGTGCGTCTCAAGAAAAGAACATCTTACAGCTCTCCCAGCTGTATGTCAGTTCTGTTTCCCATGCAATGCGTTTCCTGCCTTTAGGGTGGCTGTGTATGAGGGTGTTATGTGTCTCTGGATGTCCAATCGATCCAATCCGTGCATCGAGTTTCGCCAGCCAGCAGTCTGTGGGTAGGTGAGGAAAATGACGAAAACTTCAGAAAAATGTACACGCGCCTGCAAAGCTCTCGGAAGCTATACGGGCGCAAATTCAGAAGCTGTCGCATGAGTAAAACAGTTGAGAGCTGGAAACAGGCTACCGAAACATAGGAGCAGAGGACACGGAATTGGCGCGAAGGAAGAGGCCTGACGCCTTTGCAAAACGCCTGGTTGCTTCTCACAGTGCGGTCGCTTCAGATGCGCCTCTGTTCCAATGTAATGTAGTATACTTCGACCGCCGTTACCACCGCTTGATGACGCAAGAAAACAGAACAGGCAGCGGGAACTGTAAACCAGCGCACACTGGTGGTAACATGAGGCGGCTATGAAGTAAGGTGGGAAGGCAGAAATTGAGCTACTTGTTCGTAGAGTCGAAACGTCTGCTAGCCGGGTTACTCCCTCTGCGGGTTAAAGCGAAGGCGCCTGTGTCCTCCCCGGGGAACTATCTCGCAGTTCAAACTGAACCACCCACAAACCTAAGTTCAAATAGTAGGCTCTCCTTATCATAGTGGAAGTCATTCTATTTCATACCTGAATCGCCGTTTATTCGGATCGGATGAATTTGGTGTGCACTTTGACAATGTAACACAAGTCTTACCTCAATATACGTTTAATATCTAGACACAACGGAAGATATACTCGAATGAAAAAGTTTGGATAGAAAATCAATAGCCATTTAATTTGTTACTTCTCATTATTTGTAGTGCATTCTAGACCTATAAAATACGGTCTGTGTAAGTCGGACCGTAAATGTATTACATTTACCGATAAATTGGCATTGTATGTCCACACAATAATCGACTTCCAAAGTTATTTTAACATGCATGACACTTATATATATAAGGTAGTTCTTTTGGAAAGTAATTACGAATGTATATTTTATAGTTAGTTAATACTCACTATTGCATATCTCTTAGTTTATTATTACCGGTAAAAAAAAATAGCTAAGGGTATGCAGCAGCAGGGGCATCGAATCGAAGAGATCTGCTAGTGAGAAAAAAATAAGATTTTAAAAATCTAAGACGTATGCAGTGCGTAGACCCAGCATGAATAACAATGAATTAATATACACGGATTGGACGAATGTACATATTGTTATACACGTTGGGCAAACGGCAGGGAAAACAGGATGAGCGTAACGAAATTCGGTTGGCATCGAATTTAACTTAGTTTAATGCCCGAGTGTCATGATCTTAATGCTTTTTTGATATTGACTTTAGCAACAATTATAGATTATTACGGATTTAAGTTAGTGCAATGGCCTCTTTCCCATCAACCCATATCGACTGTGCATAATTCTGTAGGAATATAATATCATCTGCTTTTCATAACGTTATAGGTATATATATATTCCTATTGCTATTTCAGATGAGCCATTGGAGAGACAGCAATATAAAAGCGATTCGATGCACATACGAAGAAACTAGCAGACGGACGACCGAAGCGACGGTTCGGTTCTAAATAAATAATGCAAACGTATCCTCATTTAGATGTGTGCGGGACTTTCGATCGGACAAAAAGGGGAGAGAGCAAAAGACAACTGCTGAGAGACGAAGGGCCTTTTACACCTGACGGTCTGTGCGAAAAGGACGTTTGGGCCGAATGCTACGTGCGTACCGTTCCGGGATCGGTAAGGCTGACACGGCGCGGACGGTGCTATTATAAATGTCGAACAAGTCTACGAAGGCCCCCCTTTAACATCTAGCATGGGGCTATATTCGTTGCCTATGGTAGCAGCGCGTGGGGGATAACGAAAAGGGCATGAAATACGGTAACGGTATCGACTCGTCCATGGCCGACGGTGAAAAGCCCTACTCGCAAACATATACTCGTACATATATTGGGGTATGAAAGACAAACTTATATAAACGAGATTGCTCTTTACTCTTCGGGCAAATTGACATTAAGGTGCAAGCAGCGTACACGGGGCATATTTGTCCCTGAGTGGTCCAGCAAGGCTTGGTGCATGAATTCTAGTATAAGACAAAGCTATGATCAAACAAATATATAATGCGGTAGACGCGACCGGTCGAACTGTCGGTCTGTTAGAAGCACAGCTCACAACTTCGCCGTGAAAGATACACGATGAACAAAATATTTCCAAATTCTCTTAAGGAATAGAATGGCAACGATACCAACAACCTCGGGAATAACGGTATACAAGAATGTCGAATGACTACGATCGAATGGAAACCTAAGTGGATATGTCCTTTCCATTACGGTTGCAGCGCCATCTAAGGACGAAGATGGATGAATATATTTGATTAGCGATTATGCATAAAAAGCCGATTTGCTTACGAGACCAGGAACGAGTCTTCTGTGAAGTATAGGCCAGCATGGTCATAGAGTCCGCAGCATTCGCTTGAAGTTTACACCAATGAGTGGGGCGGGTATAAAATGAATTCTGGTCACTCCTTTATTTTGTCCGCGCCCCCTTAGAACGGCTCTATGGGATGGACGGTCATTGATGACTAACCGACAATCAGTATATATGCAACTCATCCATCTGTTCATTGCAATTTTGAGGACCCTTGAATTTAGTACCGCCCGAGCCTCGTGGCCTTCTGCAACGGAACGACCCCTTGCGCTATACTCTCTCTTACTTGTCTCAGATGTCCGTTTTAAGCCACCTATAGTAAGTCTGCCTATAGTAGTTATGGGAGCGGTCGTGGCTGCACTGGCAATAGGTCGCACAAACGGAGTTCCTTTCGTGTCCTATTTGGGTGGACCACCGAGAATGGTTCGCTACTGTTTGTCCAAGAATGGACTCCATCAATCTAAACGTCTCCGCGTGAGTAGGAGGTGGCAGTTGAATCGAAAGGTCCTACAGCAGAAAGGGCCCAATAAGGGTGCTGCTGCTTGGCAGGGTGGTCGTAGTCGATCGCATAAGGGGACGGTTAGTATCTTCGAAGGCTTGTCTCGGGGGAGCACTTTGTTAATGGGAAGATACGCCCTTCCCGAGTTTCCTTCAACTCCCTCCTTTGCTTTCCTGCTGCCCATCAAAATGGCCGGTACTGCGCATGTCCCTGTCTCGGTCTGCGCGGCAGTGCCTTCGCAGCCAAGCAACGCGGTAGGGGCAATCATGTTGGGGCAGCACGACTACTGCCAGCCACCCTACGATTTCTCCTCCGTCTTCCCACTCTCGCTTTGAACCCTGTCCCCGGCTTCACCAGACGCACAGACAGAGAGCACATAAGAGTGAGATCCCTAAGGGCCACTTGATGGCGACTGCGGCTACGCTAGTTTCTGTTCAGCCTCGGTCAGCTCAGACAAGTCCCACTGATTCGATGATGGAAGTCTCCGGCTGACCCTCTACCCAGCGCTTTC